GTACAGTACTGATAGTTCTGTAATTATTTACAAATTGAGAGTCCCCCACTTTTAAAAACGGGTTTTATCACGGATTTTTTTTTTAAATGCCTAGAAATATCCAAGATGACAAACAGCTGTTGAAAAGATGGAGAGTTGCTTTGAATATTACCCTATAAGATAACCCGAATATTTTTGAATTAATATTATCGACTTCAGATAAGCCGACAATAAGGTATCGAAGTACATCACTGTTACAACTTTTCCAGCAAGGTGCCATTTACGATAAAAGCACCCGACTTCGCCCTAAAGGAGGAGGCAAAAATCACTCACTACAGTCTTTTTTGAATTTTGCCAGCTCCTTTTTGGTCGAACTTTTCTTTTAACCAAAACCTGCGGTATGAAAGCACGCAACACATACTGCAGTAAAAAGTAAATCGGTCTCATAATATTTTTGTACGGCAGTTTTTGTTCAAAAGTCCAAAACTCCAAACAGTTCTTTGCCAATAACCCTTTGGCGCGGCTTCCAATCGCTTAATAAAATGAGTGCGTTGTGTCCAGGGATGCATCCAGAGGGGGGATGGTGGATTCAAAATTGCTGTGCGCGCTACTGTTCGAGTTCCCAGGAGCTCCGACACGAAGAGACCGACACCACAACCCGTGGATCTCACGCACGCTGGACTTCATGAACACTAGACGATGCGGCTCTGGATGCTGCGAGCCTGGACTTTCTGACCACTGGACGTTATGAGCTCTGGACGTTTCATACGCATCCGACCCATCCACTTGTGAAGAAGTCACTGCGAGCGGCCACACCCACGCCTGCGGGGACGTCACCTCGAGCGGCCGCACCTCTACCATTGATGGACACCGTCAGGCGAGCCTGACTACCTGCCCCAGCGCCGCTGCGGCAGCTCGGAGCGCACCGCCGCCGTTCGGCTGCGCGGCGGACACGTGATCGCCGTTTGCGCGACACCGGAGGCGCTAACTTCTACTGCTAGTAGTGTACTTACTCGATATTCTACCGCGAGTAGTGTACTGACTCGAGGTTCTGCCACTAGTAGTGTACTTACTCGAGGTTCTACTATTAATGGTGTACCTATTCGAGGTTCTACCACTTAAAGTGCACGTCTTCGAGGTTTTTTCACTCGTAGCGTATTTACTCAAGGTGCTACCACTAGTGGTGTACTTACTCGAGGTTTTACTACTAGTAGTGTGCTTACTCGAGGTTCTACCATTAGAAGTATAACTACTCGAGGTTCTACCACTAGAAGTATTTGTATTTACCAGTTTGTACTAGTGTATTTACTCGAGGGGAGGCAAACTTCTAGTTTATGACGCGAGTGAAGGAACCGGCATGCAAGTGGTGTTGTGTTGGTGTGTCTGCAAAGTGTTGTTTATCCTATTTATTAGGTTGTTTGTACTAATGCGTTGCACGGTTGGTGGATTCTTCAAAAGAGGAAGATGTAGCGGTGCTGTTCATTGAGTGGCTGCAACCTTCCCCTGCATGCTTCCACCTAGTGTCTGGAATAGAGTAGCAATTTTTCAACCTGTCAACCCGCTTATATCTGACTCTCTAGGACCTGTGGGGTTTCGGCCGGGTTATGGGCTTTTAAATCTGTGTTTTGCCATTTCTTGAGTTTTAAGACAATCCAAAAAGCAGAGTGCGTTACCAAACATAAAACTATCAGGAAATGGTCATATATCTATTGTCTACAGTAAGAGTACAAGCGACAGGAAATCCATGGCAGGCATCACACACCGTAAACCAAGCTGCACAAATTGAACAGCATGAAGCTAACATCTCCCTGAAAATTTTTAGTACAATGACCCAATTTAAAAAAACGACCCGATGTCATTAAGCAGCAGTCACGCGGGTCCTTGATATAAATACAGCTAAAAACCGCACTTGGCTGCTATTGTGAAGGTGTGGTGCGCTCAACCTTTCTTGGCTTACACACAAACTATACCTTACAAACCGCTATCAATAATCACGATCAACGAAATACATGGGAAGCTTTGAGCGGTTTCCTGCCCTAGCTTCGCTCCCTTGTCAATACAGCCCGCAGTTGCTGTGGTACAAGACGTGCAATAGTAGTCGAAACTAAAAAAGCGGTGACATAGGGTTGGTCTATGTATGCCTGAAGAAGATGCAATTTACATCTAACGCATTTTTTTGATATCTAACAGGGTATTTACATCTAACGCGGTTTCCTTACTGCGATTTTTTTTAGAAAAAAAAGTTTCTACGCGTTTCGCATTACGGCTTTTGCGCTGTCTAATTTGTCAGTTTCTTCTTATACTGAATTCTGAGCGCAGTTCTGTGTGAAAAATTCATATCAACATATGACGTCAAAAATATATGACTCTCGGGTAACGCTTGGTCGGGTGCAAGCAGCGTCCAGATCAAGGGAGATGCATCAAAGCGGACCCGGCTGGTGTATCATTTTTTCTGAGCTCCGATTCACGCTACATGAGGAATTTCTCCCGTTTTGCGTGCATACTACCGTCAGACGAAGTTCATCACTGACGAACATTTTTGTACAAACTTGTATTTACATTATATATTGGCATGGGGACCTTTGCTTACGTAGTTTTGTTAAACAAACGGGTTTCTTGACCAGCATTTGTAACCGAACAGATTGGTTCAAACAATTTCTGACAACCTTTTTGCATACAAACTTTTGCGCAGGCGTACAATTTCGTTACGAACTTTTCTTGACGAACATTTTACGATCCGATCTATATCCATACGTACCTTTGCTATCACAAACTTTTTCTGTTAGGAAATTTACACTCTACGTACCTAATCCTGACAAACATTAGGCATACGTACTTTATCCTACGAATAATCACCATGCGTACGTTTTATATATACCTTTGTACGCAACCCTGTACATGCTTTACACCACAGGAACATTTGCATTTGCTTATGAACTTTTCCCTACGAACTTTTGCGTGCATAATTCCACCACATGAATCTCACACCCTACGCACCCCAGTTAATCAATTGCGATCAATCAGTTACGATCAATTGAGAACGCAAATTATACATACGTACGTTTGCCTTACGAACTTGTCCTAAAAACCCAGAAAGTATCCGTGAAAAAGGCTGTGGTGAAAGAGGGCGCTGCCGCCAGCATCTATAGGTGGAGCCACCAACGCCACGGTCCTGGCAAGAGCCAGATTTTGCCGCAGCCAGCGGGGATCTGGCTGCGTCACTCCCGGACAGACATTGGGGAACAGGGAATGTGGGGCGTAGTACACCTTTCTAATCTGCGATGAGCCACCAGCTCAACATGAGCACCAGACTATGGTTTCAGCAAGCAGGTTCATGCGCAGGAGCCAGTTATCCTTTCCAATTCAATTATTTGCTCGGACGGAAGAACTAACTGTGGGCGTTGAGATAACGCAGAATAACGCTCGTTTGGGGTTGGTCTAAAATGCCTAATTTGATCACCGAACGGAACATGGAGTGGGAATTTTTGGAAATAATGGGGTGGGGGCCGAGACGGGGGCCCGAGGAACCACTTCCCTCCTATTGTTATCGATGAATTCAGGCCAGCATACTTTGACGAAAGGCACAGAAACTTCAGTTTAAATTGCCGTGCCATCAAAGATGGTATAACATTTAAGCAGCATACCTGTTAAGTACAGGCGGATCTGGAGTTGGGGAGATACTGGAGGCACGTGCCCCCTCTGACCGGAAAGTAAAGGCGCCCCTCGAGAAGCCGCCTTAGGTTGTTGGACACTTATCTGTGGTGGCCATGGGCGGTGGCACAATTTTTTATTGTGAGGGACGGAGACAGCACTAGTAATGAAAAAGTTAGGTCATTTTCGTACCCCAGAGCTTTTCAGTTTAACGAATCGAACCTCTGGGCGCCTTGTGGCCCAATGTGTGTAAAGTTTATAACATCGTTTATCCGCTCAGCGAATAAGATTTTTATCTGGCGGTGAGAGCAAACACGCTTCTTATGACGAGAGGAAGGATGCTGTAGCCTTGGTAGGTGCACCGCTTTATACGACATAGATGTTTTGTGCCTATGAGGCGGTAAACATCCGGAGACACCTTTTCACCGCTGAGAATGTCCTTTCCACAGAATACCAGTGAAAGCAACATGAAATAAAGAGATTGTCTTCACCTTTCCAGCTTCAGCACCAGTTTGGAGCATTATAGAGGCTGACCAGTCTTTTTATCAGTTGCCTTTTTATCTTACAGGCGTACGGGTGGAATGTAGCGCAAGACGACTGCCTTCAAAACGTGCGAATCGACGTCCTAGAGTATCATCTGACGTCGTTTGTCTTGTCATGGCAGTCGGATTTACACGAAATTATGTAATATGATTTAACCCGCCACCGGCATGGTACATATCGTTGCCATTGGTTGGTGAATTTGCAATACTCACTATGCTTGTGCATCACGCTTTTAGTACATTTTGACTGCTGGGGTATTTACTACTCCTTCAATACAGTCAAAACAAGCCTCCGCATTAGTCACTAGCCATTAGCTGACCACATCGGCAAGACGGCCAGCCACCGGAAACCGGCTAGTTGTAACCGACCCTGGAATGGAGTGTGGTGCTTGATTTTGATGGCATTTAGCAGGCACCTAAGTTTATTTTGCCGTATATTTTACGAAACATTAAGTTTGAAAATGACAGGATTTAACGTGATCTAGAAAAGTGAGCGTTGGATTCCCGTATAAAAAGAACATCTAGTAATCTCAAAATTGACGTCAAAATCCGAGGGCTTTTTTGAAAGGGTCCCAAAGTTCAAGGCCCACAATGTTGATCAACTTTGATCAATAACTTTGATCAACAACAACAATAACAACAACCCCAACTTTGATCCGCCCTTGCATGCATGCGCCTGGTGCACAGATCGTACATGTGCTGGCATTCAAGTCACTTAAGCATATCACGCGCATGGAATAGCATATGCGACCCCACTCCACTGCAGCTGACGCACGAAACAATGTCGGTGGATCGGCATTTCCGTAGGAGTTACGACAGGTATGGTTCCGAGCTGGACATGGAGTTATATTGATGGTCTCAACACTGTTTCATACCAAACGTTCTTCATCACCTGCAAGCAATATTTTCTGACGGCCGCTTGGCAAAGCCTAACGGGTCTATCATGTAACAGCAGTTAAACTCTATCCTGAACGTGCGCACCTCCCGCAGTGAAACAGCCGGCGGCCGAGACTTTAAACGGTTGAAAATGAGCGCTGCTTTATACTTTCAAGCTGACTTGGCGCAAACGCGTTCACTTAACATGAAAAAGGAGAACAGAAACACAATTCGTCGCGCTTCCTTCCGGGAGAGAGAAAAACGGCTTTACAATTATGTTATGCAAAGCACAAACGGCTCAATGCAGAAGCTAGCGTAGCCGTTATAAAGTTCGGCAACTGTCTGCATGCATGTTGTATGCTGCGACCGAAGACATGCATCACCCACTTTGTCACCTTGGTTGGAAATCTCTCCCCGAACGCTCGCGCGCACTTCATAATCAGCCGTCGGACATATGACGTCTGCTGAAATCGAGACATCAGGCCCGTGCGAGACAAGATTCGGCGGCGGTACTCGCTTATCTCGTAGATATGAAACGGCCGATCAGTGTCCAAACAGGTGAAACCTAACAAAACCTACAAAACATCCGTGCAGAGCTACCCGCTGTCCAGGAGAAATGAGCTCATGAGGCCTCTGGGAGCAGGATAGTCCTCGCGAGCTTCAGGCAGGGCTTCGTAAGGTGGCAAACGTTACGGAACCGTGCAACCCACGATTCAGTCGAAATGTCTGTTGCCCTCCCACCACTAACTGAACACGGCACCGTACCGAGTAATACCGCAAATGACGTCAGTATCTGACAGTCCCAGGAGCGCGCCGTACAAACCAGGGAACTATGCAAAAGGTCACTTGCGGTCGTCCCTTTTCTCTACAACTGCCTGTGGTGCCCCAGTTACAACATGCTATTGCATATGCAGCGGCTCACGCTCCATAATTGATGCTGTTGACTGTTTCTCTGGATAACTGCCGGGTCGTCCCTTCCCACAACACGATGCGGTGCAGCGATGCTGTGCGTCCAGTCCCATCAACGTTTGCTGATGCTCTACATAGGACAAGTGTTGCATGCTCCTAAAGACGTTCGCTATCATTGGCCTTGCGTAGAATTTTCACCTTTGTGTTCATCAGGAGGTGCAACGAAACCAGCGTTATCAATGCCAAACGCTTCCTCCGAACTGCTGTTCTTCTTTTCCAGCTCCTTCACCAGCGACCCCTTCTTCGTCACCCCATCCAGAGACCCCTTCTCAAGCCCCTCGAGATTCACAGAACCCCTTCCTCCCACCTTGTTGTCTTCATCCTCGGTATTGTAGTACTTTCTGTTCCACGCCTGCTCCTCAGAGCTGCCGAACACAAAGAAGATGATCGTGTCGAAGACCATGAAGGCGGCGGGCAGCAGGAAGCAGTAGCGCCAGCGGTCCAACGTCTCGTGGCCCTCGGTCAGCGCACCCACCACCAGCGGCGCCAGGAAGCCCGGAATGCTGCCGAAGGTATTGGAGATGCCGTACAACGTACCGGAGTAGTTGGGCGCCATGTCCACCGGCACACTCTGCCAGCCCGTATAGCCGGCGCCGATCAGTCCGATTCCGATGAACAGCAGGACTTCGACGAGGGTTTCGTGCTCGCCGAGGAAGGCGATACAGACCAGCGTTACTGCCACTACTGTCTGTGACACGAACTGCGCCATGCGACGGATGTTGTTGATGCTCATCAGGTTGTTTTTGCGCAGGTAGTCGCTGAAAGCACCGTACGCCATCGCGAAGATGAAGGTGACGAGGAACGGCAGCGAGGTGAAGATGGCGTTGGACGAGATGTCCTTGCCGAGGACGTTGCTGAAGTACTGCGGCAGGTCGTTGAGTAAGGTGTAAAAGCCCCAGTTGTTGCAGAAGTTGGCGACAACCAGCGACCAGACCGGCGGGGACGTCAGCACCTCCTTCCACGGCAGCGGCAGACGACGCGTGGAACGCTCGCTGCCGATCGCCGTCATGATGAAGTCGCGCTCCTCGGCGGTGATGAAAGGGTGCTCCTCTGGCGCGTTGTATACAAGCAGCAGCCAGAAGACGAACCACACGAGCGCAAACGATCCCTGAATGTAGAACACGGCCTCCCAACTGATGGCATTTATGATGGCTGACGCCAGCGGCATGGTGATGGCGGTGCCGATGTTAGACGCGCTGATGGCCAGCGACACGACGGTGCTGCGCTCGTTGGGTGGCGCCCACGCACGCAGCAGGGCGTATCCAGAGGGGAAGCCCACGCCCAGCACAAAGCCCATGCTGATCCGGATGGCCACCAGCGCACGGTAGTCCCAATAGGAGACGGTCGGGATGAGGAAGGTCAAGCAGCCGGCCGTCAGCAGCGACAAGCCGTAGATGTACTTGACGCTGGATATCTCAGCGCAGCGCCCGCCCACCACCTGTGTGCAGATGTAGCCGTAGTAGAAGCTGCCCAGGATCAGGGCGACGATCTTCTCGTCCCAGACGAACGGGCCATCTGTCTGGCTGCCGGCGGCGCCTGAAGAATTGACAGCCGTGTGGTTCACCATGGCCACGATCGCCAGGTTCAGGTTGTTGCGCAGCATGTAGTTGATGACGAAGCCGAAAAACGCCATCGTCACCACCACGTATCGCATGGGGAGCACGCGCAGCAGCACGTTCGTCATGGTGGTACACTAGTTGATGCTGGCTGGGTGATGATTCGATACAACTGAGTGATGTGCTCGAGCTCGGCGGTCCCGGACACGTCCGCCCTCGAGCCAGGCGGCCTCCCCAGTAAGTGCCGGCAGCACTCCCACGGGTGGAGATGCGGTGGAGCGCCAGTGAGATAATGTATCGGACGGGCGATGTAGCCCGATATCTGGCGACTGAGAATCTGGCTGTTCTGAGACTAATCTGACAATCGTGAAGATTAAAAGCAGACGCTGCGCGTAGCGGAGCGGGGATGATACCATTAATACATCTCAGATTCGCACCGACGGCTTGTGACAGCAAGTACATCGGTCTCAAACACCAGTTGCACTGCAGGGTGCCGCTGGTGTGGTGGAAATGAGCACAAACACGCTCGTTTTTACGCAATGTTAAATTTCAACACATGTTTCATACGCCTCCTTTTCGGAGTTTAGAGAAGGCTGGTGGAGGAGCCAAATAGGGAGCGGGGCGACTGGCAGGCTGGATCCATTTCGCCTGTTATCTGTCACCCATGAACAGTCAATCAGGAGTGAGACACTCCCGCTACTCCAGCAACGCAATACACCATACGTTAACACGCGCTCGGGTGGGGGTCAAATTGACCCCCCCCCCGAAGGTTTTTCCAGAATGTTTTCCGAACGGCGCGGCGTAGCCGCGGCAAATTTTGCATAGCTGTAGACATTTTAATAGCGGATCGCTTGGTATGAAAATTTAGATGCACCTTGTAACGTTGCTGACCTAAGGCAGGTCAAAGTCAGACCATGGTTTCGGCAAAGGCAATTTCTAGGGAGTCGTTCAATCTGATTCAACAACGGAGTGTTTGACGAAGCCGTACATCTCTGAAATGCTTTCTTAGTCACCAGAAATATTAAATGAACAAATGACGTTGACCTAAGGTCAGGTATGAAGGTGAAAAACCAACTTGATTTATTACTCTATGGCTTGCTGTATGGGGTAGTTTCTGGTGCTCATTTCGAATTTATTGACCGCAGGGACTGCATTATACATCTTCCATTGACTTCTTAGAGATCGCAACATGTCATTGACCTGAGATGACCCAGGTCAACATTTTGTTTTAGGAACATGCTGCTTAGCGTAATCTTTGTCGCTCACTGAAACGCAAAACTCAGAGCAGTCTTGTATGATTTTGGTCACTATTATCTTCAAAAGGTCAAACAAGGTCACTGATCTCAAATGGGCTTGTGACCTTTTGCTTAGAAACAGCTGCCTAGGTTCTGGGGGCACTTTGGAGACCGTCCTGGAATTTGATTTTGTTTGACCTTATTTGACCTGAAGGTCAGGACCTAGGAAGCTCAAACTTTGACCTACGTGAGTTCACGTACAGGTTAAGAAATCCTATAAATTTGGTGACTCTAGCTTTTTTAGTTCCCGAGATCTCAGGACGGGGGGCAAATTGAACCCCCCCCCCCACACCCGAGCCAAGGGTGTCTAGCCGGTCACCCGGGCGCGTGTTAAAGTGAATGTTCCACACTTAAATGGGGGTTTGAACCGAAGCAGCCATCCTAAACACCTTTCGGTGATGTTCACAATCCTGCGCGTCTTAAGACCTAAGCCGTTCTAGTTTCTGAGTTACACGCCCGCGAACACTGGGAGAGTATTCCGGGAAGAGTATTTCAGTCACCTTGGCATCCATGACGGCATGATAACGCCATTCAAGTCCTGTAATTCCATAAGCCACGCGGCGGCAAGGCCAATGGAAATATAATTGTTGAGGCGTTCATATCTGGCGTTCGTGAGCGCAACTTCCAGATAAAACGGCCGTCAATTGTCTCTCAATCAATCCTGTGCAAAATGCGATGATGTAATCAAACTATAACGCATTGAGGAGTATATCTACTAAACAGAAAATTATGTTGTCTCGGGCGATTTTTCACTTAAAAAGCATACCAATAGTTATTAGTTAGTTTGTTTCCTCATATGGGATGCATGCTTCGGTATCTTCAAATATGAAACATCCCTTTAACAACGAAGGACATAAAGGGCGATTTCATTCACTACCTCCAGGACATGGACATCAACTCAAAAAGGCATAGGAATGAAAACGGAGCAAAGAGGAGTGGACAGAACAGACAAAATGTTATGCATGCATAAAGTCATATCGAAGAAGGCCAACCACCATTTCGCTGCGCAGGTCTCAATAATGATTGCAAGTGTAAAATATAAGACTTATGATGACTGTATCCAAAAATAACATTAGTTGCTAGGACTAATTTGGGCTCAGGAAAAGTGTTTTAACTTGCATGCCTTGGTTGCTCTGCAAAATGGAGCCAATGAAGTATTGAAATGCAATCACATAAATTGCCCAGTGCATCCAGATATAAAAAAACGCTTGAAGCCGTAGATCACATAGCATGGTTGCCTCAAATTCGTCCGTAGAGTGTTAATAATATGTTTTAGCCATCTCTGAATCATTTATATATATATATATATATATATATATATATATATATATATATATATATATATAATGGAGATCACTGTAACTCCTCTAAATCAAATCGAGATTGCGTTTAACACCTATTGGTGTTCTGTTGGAATCCACTTATGCACCTCCTCTTCTCGTGCTGCATGTGAATGACTCCCCCCCCCCCCCCCCCACGTGCCCGCCAAACTCGCGTGTACATGCCAAATCTGCACTCACCCCATTCACAGACGATGTGGTGTTATGATTACTTCAGAAACGTTCTGTAAATTGCAAACTATCTTTTACACAGCTTCCAAATGTGTCCGAATGACTTAAAATGGTAACCTATCTTTAGTAGCCAACAGAACTTACTGTGAACAACGTAGCACTCCTATGGTAATCAAAAGCATTTGATCATGTCCAAAAGGATTGAATCCAGGCCAATCCAGAAACGGTGAAAGCCGTCAACATTCACGTCGATGTACGCCTGCATCGCGGGAACTGGCCGTCCGCGATCTCCCGCCAACGACACAGCCGGTGGTGGCGATATATACACGCATATATGTGTATATATATATATATATATATATATATATATATATTGTACAGCTGGTCGTCGTCGCTTTCTGTAGCCCGCAAGCACACGCACGCCACCGGCGTCGTCGCGTGGATATCAAAGCCGTTGCTGCGCTGTCGCGAACCAAAGGTAAAAAAGCTTTTAGGTAATGTTACATGATCGAGAGCAACTACTGAGAGGACACTGTAAAATAGCCATTGGAATTTACGATAAATGATACTAACAACCCTATCTACAATCAACACTAATTAAGTGGATAATTACCGAAACGGAAAATAACACACATGAAGAATTTGACACACGTGCAAGATATGGCCCAAACGAATTTATATACAAACATGACGCGGCAGGCACAGGTAAGGCAAAAGGAAATTATTAAAACGCTGCCGTGGGTTGGCCGGCACCCCTGAAATGGAGGGCCACGTTTTCAAAGAAACGTTACACACCTCGTTGAGTGCCTTTCATGGGGCGTTAGTGTGGCGATAAAGTGGCCCTACTGGTACCAGGGGACCGAGGCGCGACACGGAGTTCGAGCCCAAGCCCGCCGTGTGGAAGCCGAAGGTGCCAACACTCGGCCATGGCGCCTCGGAATAACCACATTGTTATTGTAACAGCTATCGTGGCCGCAATGGTGGGATACAAAATCGTTGTGGTTTCCTAGGACGCAAGCATATAATTGTGATGCACAGTGAATTAGTGCCAACCTATGTCAGCCAACACTATCTAGCAGAGGTCATGGAATATTAAGCGCCCAAACTTCTTAAAAATGTGTAGTTATTCTACACAAAACATGTCCTAGTCAGATAAGTCGGTGCGATATCGGGCTACACCGCCCGTCCGATGTCCGATACATTATCTCACTGGCGCTCCACCGCATCTCCACCCGTGGGGGTGCTGCCGGCACTTACTGGGGAGGCCGCCTGGCTCGAGGGCGGACGTGTCCTCAGTTGCATCGACCCATCACCCGGCCAGCATCAAATAGTGTACCACCATGACGAACGTGCTGCTGCGCGTGCTCCCCATGCGGTACGTGGTGGTGTCGATAGCGTTTTTCGGCTTCGTCATCAACTACATGCTGCGCAACAACCTGAACCTGGCGATCGTGGCCATGGTGAACCACACGGCTGTCAATTCTTCAGGCGCCGCCGGCAGCCAGACAGATGGCCCGTTCGTCTGGGACGAGAAGATCGTCGCCCTGATCCTGGGCAGCTTCTACTACGGCTACATCTGCACGCAGGTGGTGGGCGGGCGCTGCGCTGAGATATCCAGCGTCAAGTACATCTACGGCTTGTCGCTGCTGACGGCCGGCTGCTTGACCTTCCTCATCCCGACCGTCTCCTATTGGGACTACCGTGCGCTGGTGGCCATCCGGATCAGCATGGGCTTTGTGCTGGGCGTGGGCTTCCCCTCTGGATACGCCCTGCTGCGTGCGTGGGCGCCACCCAACGAGCGCAGCACCGTCGTGTCGCTGGCCATCAGCGCGTCTAACATCGGCACCGCCATCACCATGCCGCTGGCGTCAGCCATCATAAATGCCATCAGTTGGGAGGCCGTGTTCTACATTCAGGGATCGTTTGCGCTCGTGTGGTTCGTCTTCTGGCTGCTGCTCGTCTACAACGGGCCGGAGGAGCACCCTTTCATCACCGCCGAGGAGCGCGACTTCATCATGACGGCGATCGGCAGCGAACGCTCCACGCGTCGTCTGCCGCTGCCGTGGAAGGAGATACTGACGTCCCCGCCGGTCTGGTCGCTGGTTGTCGCCAACTTCTGCAACAACTGGGGCTATTACACCTTACTCAACGACCTGCCGCAGTACTTCAGCAACGTCCTCGGCAAGGACATCTCGTCCAACGCCATCTTCACCTCGCTGCCGTTCCTCGTCACCTTCATCTTTGCGATGGCGTACGGTGCTTTCAGCGACTACCTGCGCAAAAACAACCTGATGAGCATCAACAACATCCGTCGCATGGCGCAGTTCGTGTCACAGACAGTAGTGGCAGTAACGCTGGTCTGCATCGCCTTTCTCGGCGAGCACGAAACCCTCGTCGAGGTCCTGCTGTTCATCGGAATCGGACTGATCGGCGCCGGCTACACGGGCTGGCAAAGTGTGCCGGTGGACATGGCGCCCAACTACTCTGGCACGCTGGTCGGCATCTCCAATACCTTCGGCAGCATTCCGGGCTTCCTGGCGCCGCTGGTGGTGGGTGCGCTGACCGAGGGCCACGAGACGTTGGACCGCTGGCGCTACTGCTTCCTGCTACCCGCCGCCTTCATGGTCTTCGACACGATCATCTTCTTCGTGTTCGGCAGCTCAGAGGAGCAGGCGTGGAACAGAAAGTATTACAATACCGAGGATGAAGACAACAAGGCGGGAGGAAGGGATTCTGTGAATCTCGAGGGACTCGAGAAGGGGTCTCTGGATGGGGTGACGAAGAAGGGGTCGCTGGTGAAGGAGCTGGAAAAGAAGAACAGCAGTTCGGAGGAAGCGTTTGGCATTGATAACGCCGGTTTCGTTTCACCCCCTAATGAACACAAGGGTGAAAATTCTGCGCAAGGCCAATGATAGCGAACGTCTTTAGGAGCATACAACACTTGTCCTATATGGAGAACCATCAAGCGTTGGTGGGACTGGACGTACAGCATCGCCGTACCGCACTGTGCTGTGCGAATGCAGCGGCCCATCCGGAGTGAGCTAGGAACGGCCGACAGCATCAATCACGGAAGTCGAAACACCACGCATGCAATACTGCGTTGCAACTGGAACATCACGCTTGAACGCGGACAGAAAGCATTATCCGCAAGTGACCCTTTACAATGATGTATCAGCTTGTTTGCAGGGTCCCTCGGCACATGACAGCTATTAAGCCAATTTGCGACGATGCTGGGCGCGGCGCTCCACGCAGTTAGCGTGGACCGAGTAATAAGCATTGTTTCGAGCGGGTCATCGTCTTGGCCGCCGATCGCTGTTGACGATGTGTTGGTGGCTGAGTTCTGCGCAGTGGGCACTCTCCAGCGGTGCACCATGATCCAGAATCACTGGAGATGTGCAGTCCCAGTTTCGTGCAGCTGAAACCGCTGCACATTGTGTGCATTAAAGCGGCCAATGAGCGAAGGGCGCGTCACGTCACGACCAATGAGCGAAGGGCGCGTCACGTCACGTGTTGCAACGTCAGGCGATGTTGCGCAACGTCTGCAAGCGGCTGAAGCTTGGCTTGAAGCTGACGAAGGCCACCTTGCTGACCGACGGTCCACAGGCTGACATGTTCTTGATATCCGTGGCGGCAACCCGGCTCAAGTAGTCTGAGGGTTTGCTCAGGTTGCCGCAGTTCAGACCATCTTGGGGTTGTCTCCGCCTCGTCCTGCTCCCAAGGAACCTGACGTCCCGATGTCGGTGGAGGTCACGTGCCTGATGATGTCGTGGCCAGCGTGGGTAATCGGGTCAGGATTTCTAATCGGGACGGCTGCTAGACCCACGCTTGACCCACGGTCACAGCATGCTCCCTGTGTGGCAAGGGACGAAGGATGAAGCGGTGATAAGCAAAGCAGGGTGGATAGAGGACGGGAAGAGACTACGTCAGCATTTGCCGAGCGTGGGTATACCGGCTACAACACCTGCACTGCGCCATTTCATGTCCTTTGCCTAGCATTAACATAAAGTCACGCTCCGGTCGTCACGTGTGGTCGTTTTTCCATCTCCCAGAAGGGAGTGCGAAGACTTTTAATGCTCTATGCTTTTTATATCGCTTTCGTGTTATGACGTTTTTGTGTGTAGCCAGATCAGTAAGAATAATGACAGGTGACCACTTTAATCGTTGAAAGTTTGGGCTTCGGTTGGCTTCCATGGCTTCCCGACGCCATGGCTTGGCATGGAAGCAAGGCTTCCGGACGCCATGGCTTGGCATGGAACCATGGCTTTCGCAGCGCAGTTACAAAAGTGTTCAACAACTGTAACATGGCAGACCTGTACGACTTTGCCAAATGACTAGCAGAATATAATGCTTGTACGTCATGCCATTTTGTAGTCAACGGCGTTTCAGCTCTAAGAATAAACGTTCATTGCCCAACTCACAGAAAAATAACTCATGGCAGTTTTTGGCAATTACAGCACCGGGATTGGGCGGCGTGTCACAGTGACCTTGACTAACCTCTGACCTGTCCGACCGGCGGTCAGGGAAGCGGTTTTCACCAGCAGCCAGTTATCTGCGGAAGGTGCTATTGGGCCTGCACATGAGTTGCCTGTCCAAGGACGTGGCCGTCAAAGGCCAAGATAATGAACTGGGCCTGTTATGTCAGCCATAGTAGGACAGTCAGCAAAAATTACAGATGCGAAATTCTGAAATGCATAACAATGTCAAACGTCCGTGTTTAAGGTTTGATCTTTTTGGTATCATCGCGGTGCATCGCTAACAGCGTTCTTGAGTTTGATTGACTTAGAAGAGCTTGTTCAGATCTGGCTAATCACCGATTTCTGATCAGATCAGCCTGTTATGATCTGGCTAGTCACCGATCCTGGATCGGATCAGTCTGCTATGATCTGGCTAGTCACCGATCTCTGACCAGGTCAGTCTGTTATGATCTGGCTAGTCACCGATCCCTGATCAGATCAGTCTGTTATGATGTGGCTAGCCACCGATTCATGATCAGGTCAGTCTGTTATGAAAATGAAAGTAAACACTTAGACGTCGTGGCACGTTTCATACCGCTATATTTTGTTTCGGCAGCAGGCACGGCACGTATTGACTTTCTTGCTAAATGTACATAGAACTTAAAATATGTTAATATTCCGTTACATCTGCAACAGTCCATGGCTCCCTCACAAAACGGAAGAGAACGGCTCGTGATTCATCCCGACACGCCGTTCAAAACCTTCCCTGGAGTCGTGTCTGCATGACGTGTAATTCAAATTCTGACAGGTGTCACGGGAATATGAATTTGAGAAAAAAATCATGAAGTTTTGCGGCTGCTAGTTCTGACAGTTTGAAGTGCAGTTGCAAAACAAGCACAGAGGGCAAGTCGGCCTCACAGCTGGGTTCAAGAGAGCGGCGTGCCGGTCGGGGCACCACTCTGTGGAGTGTAGCGCGACAGCATAGTGATCATATCAGCATCGAGCGGCCGCGGCTGCAGGCTGCACTCGCACCCATGTGGGCTTCCGGCGGCTGCCTCGGAGGCAGTTGCACCATTTTGCGTTTGAATTGTTTTTTTCGTCGTCCGGGCGTCTAAAAAAACAGCATACGATTTCGACTCTCTTCAAAGGCTACAGGACTGCTTTAAATTCTGCACCTTCCGACTGATCAGCTCCGTCCTGACTTCTGAGCAGAACAAGCTCCGTCTGAGCACACCGCTGGCAAACGCTCCTATCGCGTCTTTCTGGCGGCCCGAGAAGTCGACTGGGGGGAGGGGGAGGGGCGCAGCCGCCCGCGCCTGACGTCACGTGTCATGAGCCGCATCTCCGGTCCCTGATGGCGTTCTGCGTGCCCCTGTTTGGCAGACGAGCAGTCGAGTCTTTGTAGCCTCGCTGGATGAGAATAGAAGTTGGGTTTGTTGTGGCATCGCTGGATGAGAATAGAAGTCGGGTCTATTGTGGCCTCGCTGGATGAGGACGGAAGTCGGGTCTGTTGCGGCCTCGCTGGATGAGGACGGAAGTCGTGTCTGTTGTGGTCTCGATGGATGAGAATAGAAGTCGGGTCTGTTGTGGCTTCGCTGGATGAGGACGGGAGTCGGGTCTGTTGTGGCCTCGCTGGATGACGACAGGAGTCGGGTTTGTTGTGGCCTCGCTGGATGAGGATATCATCGATCGTCGATCTTGTGCTCCTCGCACAGGACGTCGGTGCGCTCAAAGTGCGGTCGTTCGATTTCTGATCGAGTTTAGACATGACGACCCACAATGAAACCCTAGTGCCATCACGGAGCATGGTCTAAAAATAGCCAACTATGAACCTATAGAAGGAATTATCACAACTCCTAAAAATACATCTGAACGGGCCAAGCGTTCGTCTCATCCCTAGACCGTGACATCTGCAAACACCATCCTTCATTTGGTGGCTTCCTGTGGCATGGAGTGTGTCAATGTGCCATGCACGATGTCTGTGGCCATTCCTCCGCCGGCTGCCATTCAGCCCAGCACGTCTGCATCTATAGATAAAGCATCTAACTCCGTAGAGTTAGATCAGGTGCCGCGAGCGCCAATGGCGCGAGCTCATTCACCAAGCGCGGGTTTTACTTACATCAATTTACGGATTGACCCACCTGTGCTTGACTCTGGACAAGGACGTAGCCATAGGGGCGAAGTCGTGACCCCCCCCCCCCCTTGTAGAGGCGGAGGTTCCTTGGCCTCCCCTGACAGGCACCTGAACGGTGCTTAATTCCGTGTCTTGCGCATACGTCTCTTGAGAAATCGAGTGCGACTAGCATGATTCTGAACAGTATGCAAGGTTTACAGAAACCTTTGGTTTCTGTAAAAAGGTTTTGACCGCCTAGATCTGCGAAGGGGCCTTTGGTGGTCTAAAATGAGATCCCTGTGTGAAAAGAGTGAGGTATATCCTATCCGAAAAACGAATTTGAGGCCCTTCAGCGGAACCGTGGACTCAACAGGCTGCGGGGCCCTTCTGACAAACTCATCCCTCACACCTGGCGAAACCTTGGCAATGTAACTGAGTATGTCTGATATGTAGCTATTTTGGTAAAATAAGTATTCTGCAGCAAAAACTAGAGCTCATAGTATGACAGTTAATCTATTCCTGACAGGTTACTGCTTTGCGTTTGTACGTTTGGAGAACATGTTATTTGTAACTAAAACGTCTCCCGTCTAAATCCACACCGCTAATGGCGAGTACTTCGGTGGTTCACAGGGACGGCCTGCCTTAAAAAAGAACCATACCATAAGTTCAGTGACCATAAGTTCATAAGTTCAGTGACCCACCCCGAGGGCATAGCCCCGCTCTGGGCCGCCAGAGCAGCCCTCTGTCCACCTGGCCCGATAAATCGGGGCAAGTCCTCTGCATGTGTACGTGCTACGACAGGCATCCTAACAGCGAGCACGCGGTCAAAACTCACGCGGGGTGCCCACAATAAGAACCCTCTGACGTGTGAAGCATACAACGAGTTTATATGTCCGTGCAACCAACCCAGCGGTGACCCGGGATAGGGTACATACCAACAAGGTAAAAGACTTTTCTCCTCGGTGCCGGTACACTCAGCATGCCAGTGGCGTCTCCGATAACAAACCGCTAACGCGACCTGGCTGATACGGGCTACCACGCACTTGAGCCCGACGAGGGGCACTTGAGGTCGGCATGCACGATGACTGGGCCACACGGTGGTCGCCGAGGTGGGGAGTGAGCGGTACAAAGCCCCACGGGGCATGGAGGTGCGGCTCGGTGGCCTCGTTCTGCTCGTCGAGTGCGAGTGACGTCAGCAGTTAAAACATGACTTGATAAAAACATGAGTCCGGGGCTATCGAGCAGCCAAATCGGCAAACAGGCGAGCCAATAAACAGCTCAGGTCATCGATGCATCCACCCCTGGGTTCAAGGTCAAGTTCGGCTCATGACGGCGCTTGTAAGCA